GCAACGTTATAATTTCTCATGGAATGTAGTAAGAATCCACGGTGAAAGTAAATATTCACAACCTGAACTTATGTTTAATCGACAAAATACATCGTCCGGGCATCTTGTGAGAGGTCATATATGTCCACATTTCATGAGAAAATTCTCACTTTTACATAGAATCAATTGAAAAAATAACATAAGAAAACCAATTTTTAATTAATTAGTTTTTACGTTTATTTATAACTAAAGTAATATTTAAAATTAATATAATAATAAAAAACTTGAAAAAAGAAAAGTAATATAATAATATTAATTTAAAAAGAAAAGTAATGAAAATTTGACAAATGAAGAATAAAAATTTAATATTTTTAATTAATTTAGATTTTAGGTTGCAAATAATTGTATTAAATTCACTTCCTCCTCTTCCATCAATAAACATAGATCTTTTTATTTCTCTCTTTTCTCCATATTTTTAGTTTTTTGTTGTCAACAGTGTTATTTGTAATAAATTTTAAATGCCTATTGACAATTAACAGCTGACAATTCAAACCTTAAACAGCTTTTAAGGTGTTTACACAATGATTAAAAGTGATGTTTCTTAATAAAAGTAATTTTATTAAGCTAAATGTGCTTTTAATCAAAATTCAGTTTATGGTGTTTACGCGATCTTCAAATTGATTATAATGGCCTTAAAGGCTCTTATGCCTCGGGTAAACGGGGCATATGAAGGCAAAATAATGCTTTTATGAATATTTACTAATTATTTACTAAAAATCGATTAACTTTGCTCCAAAAATTTGTGATGAAATTAAATCTACGATATTTAGTAGTTTCTTATCGTTAGCAAGTTAAAATTTAGCATGCTAAATGTCGAGTTTATTGAGTATGTTTAGCATATTGTAATAAACTAAAGATTAAGTAAAACCGTGAAGAATCTCAATATGTTTAGAACATTATGCATCATTTTCGAGTTAAATGCGAGAAGAAACATGTTAAATATAAAATCATATGATGAAGGACCACAGCAATTTTAAGTCCTTTTTGATATGACATACATTACATAGAGCCTCACATCATAGTTGTTAATTTACTGAATTGTGTGTATATTTACTTTGAAAAAATTGTGACATCTATCACTGAACCACGCTTTTTTGACTAATGCGATGTGGTATAGAAATCGTTGTCACCGTGATCAAAATTTATTCCAAATTTCCCTGCTTCAATCATTTAAAAATTTTTAATTAACATAGAAAACAATAACAATTTCATATTTAACATAACCATAACTGTCTGTATAACATAGCTCCAAGCGTATGGGGTTTAGGTATATTTTTTATTGTACATTATTTGCGATATAATTCCATTGGCTTAATTTACTCTAGGCTGTATTCAAAAACTTAAATTTGATAGTCTTCAAGCAAGTTTTAATAAGCGCAAAAATGAAATAAAACTGAATCAAAATAAATTTTAAACAGAAATATAACCACAGTTTATAATTGTTAAATATAAAATTAATTAAAATAAATAATAAAAGCTTTGCGAGCTTCAACACGATAATGACACTATTCAGCAAATTAACATTCAGTGCCTTAGTGGCTTGATCGTGTCGTGAAGATGGATAGACATATTCTACCGAAAAAGTTGTTTGAAGCGCCAGTTAGAGGAAGAGAATTTAAGCAAAAACCGTGTAATTGATAGATTGATAAAATTGAGAAAGCACTAACCGCCCTAGATATACGGGGCTAAAGAATCTGCGAACCCAACAGAGACATCTGTTGCTCAGACAAAAACTTGGAAACGAATTGTTATGACCAAATAAGTAAGAAGCTTTTATAATCAAAATTTATTGTTTGTTTTTCCTTAAAATTAACTTTAATTTCGCATTATATTTTGTTTTAAACAAACCTGGAACCGCTTTTTGATATTCTGGAACGTCCCGAGGCAGTATTTATTAAAAAAATGACTTTAAAAAATTAATATACCATATACTCACACCTCTCTGCATAGATTTTGTGTACCTTGTATAACAAATATTACTAACTCCAACACACTTATTCAGATAAGAGCGAAAATCAGTTAAATGTGATAGTGTGAACGTATTTTTAATTATTTCAGAATCACTTTGGTTTTTTTGACAAAATATACAAAATAGTTTTATATGAAATATTTCTTTACCTAATTGAAAACAATAAATTATTTATTATTTATTTATTTAGAAAGCGCCGATAATATTTTTAAATATTTTAAACATGAACTCACAGATAATAAGTCTATTAAATTTTGTTTTTATTTTTGACCTAATTTTAGTTTAAAAATCTCTATTTATTATTATTTTATTTCTTTTATTTCTTTATACACTCCTTTATATTGTTATATTTAAAATATTTATTTACTCATACTTTGAATATTGCAGCAAAGGTATATAAACGTCTAGTTGATGTCCTTTGCAACTATTGAAAAAGTTTTATAAAGTACCGCATAACCTCTTCCATTCAGTAATTTGTGTGCGTTTGTCTCTCTCCTTACTCTTCTCCTCTCCTTTGCAATTTAAAATTATTTTTCGTAGAAAGTCTTTTCATAAGGATAATTGGTCCAAACCAATTTCAATTTAAAATAATTTCTCCTATGGCAACATGCTGTGCACATCCAAATAATTAGCTTTAGTTTCTACTGACCCATTTTTTGTGGGTGCTAAGTTATGCAAATAAAAGAACTAAAATGTTGTTTTGCACACACAATAAAACTAAAATTCTGTGGCAAAAGAAGGAAGCACGGATCTCCAGAGAAAAAATATAACTTAAAGCTAAGTTACTAAATATTGCTGTGTGAATAAATAAAAAATAATTGGATGTTCTGTTTATAAAAAATGTTTTTTAAATAATTAAGACAAATTACTTAATAACCAAATTTATGCAAATTTATTATAATTTAATTAATTTAAAAATTTTGGAAACTGCAAATGTGGCAATTAAAAGGCGTCTTGATGATTTGGTCGTACAACTTGTCCGACGTCGCTTGGTATTACATACCCGACACAGTCGACATTATTTTGTAGACGACCCTAACAAAAAAAAACAAAATAAAATCATACCCGCATTTAAACGATGTTTTCGCTTCCCTCCTTTAAAATATAATGAAGTTTTGCATGTAAGCCGACAAAAATTCGATTGTATACGAGAAAACACGAGCAATTTTGATAGAAATTAAAATATTTTGATTTCCTCCCGACTTGTCGTCAGACCTGCAAATATTGCTATTACACATCAGATTTGACACAAATTTCACAATTTAACAGAGAAGTTGTACGACCAAATCTGATGTGACATACGCTCTTCAGGTGTATTCTTTTGACCTGAATGCTTCAATGGAACACGATTCACTTAAAAATTAATACGCAAAGCAAAAACAAAATCTGTAAGAATAATTCCACTTCCCTGAAAGGGTTTATCGAATATGCTCCTCGCATTACAATTATACCAAATAATTAAACTGATCTATTTTAAATGATTTTTGGAAAAAAATGGTAAAGTTCAGTCAGCTGTTAACTATTTACAGCTGTTGCATGTGTTAATAAATAAACTTAAATATTTTCAAAAAGTAATTTTTTTAATAAAATTTGTGAAGTTGACTGACCTGTCATAATTGTGATTGTGAAGAAGTCATTCGTTAATCAAGTCATTCGTTCTAGAAATTTATATTACCTTTATAGCACCTATTTATATATTTAAAAAATTCTTACATATTCTGATAATTTGAGTTAATTCGTACACTTCGTTTTTACTTTTTTTGAAACACAATTATTAGAAGGTAAAAGGTAATTTATTTAATCGAGATTCACTTTAAATACAGTTTTTATGTTCAATTATTTTCCATCTCTAACGATTTTTATAAGTCGAGATTAATTTCTATCACATTAGACAAATCGTAAGAGTGGCAAGATTGTCCTGAAATTAACAGCTTTTTTAATGAATCGGACTGTCAGGAAGATATACTGATTCAAGGTCCGTCATCATCTAAAAGACAAATAATTGATATGATTTTTTTTTAGCCTAGTTAAAGCCTAGTGTGGGGTAAGGATAAGCCCCTCAGCCATTATAGAGTATAAGTGCGTAATAGTACTAACTCAAGAAAAAGAAGAATCAAGAATCAAGACAAATAAAGTGTGATTTCATTTCTTATATGTATTTATGAAAAATATAAATATTTACTAACACTACTACAAAAATGTTAGATTACTCTCAAAATATTCGAATCGGCAACAAAATTTAATAGATCGAGAGTACACAACTCCGACTTCAAAAAAAATCAAAAAAAACATAGCTTTGTTTCAACATTGTAAACAACTTAAGCCAGATTTTTAAATATAATAACACTTGACATAGGAAAATCATGAGCTAAGCATTTTACTTCTAAAAGTTTATACGAGGGTGGTTTATAAGTCAGTGACCTGTTGAGTTTCCCGCGCAGTTACTCCTGCCGTCAGCTGTAATCTACCAGTGGGTAAAGTTTTAATTTTGAGCAAGCTACGTTGTTCAGTTGGTGTTTGACATATCAAACCACCCTCGTAATACATTTTAATATATATAAAATGGTACTTTACTATTCTTACAAATTTAATAATACATATTTTCTTTATCTAATAGTAATAGGAGTAATAATAGTAATAGGAAATAACCCAAATTCCAATAGGTAAGGGTAATATTCTAAGTATTCTACTTAGAAGTATTCTACTTAGAATATTACTCTTACCTATTGGAATTTGGATTATTTTCGTGCAGGAACATTTTCTCATTTTAGCCTGATTCAAAATAATTGCTTTGAGTAATATGATTAATAATATTAATTAATAATATGATTAAAAGTAATGTGCTTAAAATTTTTTTAATTTTTATAAGAAAATTATATATTTCAACAATATATTTAAATTTGATCAAAATTGACACAGAACTTTTAATATTTAACCCCATTTAACAACCCTGTTTCCTTTCCAATAGCTCAAGCTAACAATAATTGTCAGCTTTGACAATAATTGTCAGCTTGACGCACATTGCTTTGTCTCAGTCGACAAAGTTGTGCAAAGCAAGAAATAGGTGAAGACAGGTCGCTCCTTGTTTTATTTCAAAAGGAATTTAAATTTTAAAATTTTAAAAAATAATAATTAGATTTGTTCTAATAACCAATAATTCAGAAAGGTAAGTTTATTTAATTCATTGTTCATTGCCAAAACAAAATCGCAAATTTGATTGTTTTTATTTGAGAAATAATTTATTGCGTGTGTTTGACTTCATGGGAAACAATATTTAATATAAAAATTGTTTTCCAAACTGATGTTTTCCAAATTGATTTTATTTATTTTTTTTTTGTTTTTAGCTAAAATGATAAATACAGACTCTGAAGACGCTACAAAAAAATGCCCCACAACAAACCAAGCTCTCTATGAGCTGCCTGACAACATTAATTACCAACTATCACCAATCACGAGCATGGCAGAGCGAAGGGCTTTAAAGTCAAAATTTGATCGTATTTATGAAAGATATAATAATTTATTGCAAGAAATCACATCTGCAAACTTACGTTTCAGACAACTATGTGATCAACTTGATTACACACCTAAAAATACTGGAGCTTATGAAAAACTCAAGAAAGATGTCGAAATTGAATATTGTAAGCTGACAAATGACAAGGCACTTCAAGATAAAATGACTTATTTTAAATTCTTACACAATGAATTAACGGAGATCAAAGAAGTGGTCATTAATTACGATAACAAAGTTTTGGCCAACTTGAAGTTGTAAACGACAGTAAACTAAACTCAACATTTTAAATTTAATAATTGCTATAAATTTAATTACTGTTATAATTATTTAATAATTACTTTAATTAACGTTAATTACTGATAATAGTTATATATTGTATTATAGAATAATTACTATATATACGATGAAGAAACAAGGAATAGATAAACACTCAAGACAAAACACATAATTAGAACTCGGTTTTTATTTTACGGTGAAACACTGCTTTCAATGTTTTCTATACAGATGAAATATGCACATTATTATTTAATTGAATCATTCGTCCACAAAGAGGGATCCTATTTGTGGTTTATAGTCTAACGGCACCAAGTGACGCCACAACGTTCATTATCCAATTTTTATATCGAAGATACAGATATCTTACTACGTTTCTATTAAGCAACACCGACTTAATATCTTTCTAGCCACAACATTTTCTGTGACTTCATCATCTTCGACACGCATTCTTCGACCTTACCATTACCGGTAGATATTTTACGCAAAGTTATGAACATTTCTGAAGTTATACCACAAACCATCTCCGTGTTTTGGACTGGTTTACAAAGTTTAGGCTTCTGGTTAAGACTGATTCATTCGTTTCGCAAGGTCCAAAACTTTCGTAGCCAAATAATGAATTTTGATTCAGATATTATCAAACTATTTGCAGTAAACCTGAACTTTTTTGGACCATCGCCATGTGTTCTAATTTAAGTAGCAATTTTTTAATCAAATTTGATTTCATATTAGATGATAAAGCTTAGAAGTTGACTGATCTATATAAGCTCTATACCTCTTGATGGTAACATAGTGATGGTAACCATTACCAAGGAATAATGTGAATTGAATTCTTTAAGGCCTCGGCATGGTCCCGATAATTTGAATTTGTTTTTTTTTTGATGTAAATTAAAACTTTGACAATAAGTGAAAGAGAAATATCGACTTAATTTTGGTCAAGATGAAGAAGTTTTCTGTACCTCGTGTGGCAAGTTGATTAAAACAGCGTTGCTTCGCATGAATGTTAGAATTTGCCTCTGTTGGGAGTAAATATTTGTATATTTGTGAAAATATTCACAAAAATATAACTACCGTTTCAATTTTGACACAAAAATAAAGGAATGAATGACATGATTCTCTGGTCATGTCCAAAAATAATACAAAACTGCAGACCATTCATGATATGATTGTCTGTATAGCATGGCTTCAAGAGTAAAAAATAAATTTTTATTGGACATTTGACACACTATCATTCAAATTATTTGGGTAAGGAGACGATTAGGGCATTTGGGACACATTTTCAAAATAGTTGTTGGTTTTCTATTGATAGTAATACCAGCAAACTTTTAATAATAAAATTAATCGTTAACAGAATTTCTATCGTATTAGAAACCACATGAGAACACCAATTTGAAAATTTCGCAAAAGTTCCACATGTTAAATAATTGAGAGTAGTCCAAATATTTTATTCACTATCTTTAAATCTAATAATAATTTGTATGAATATTATGCAGTGAGACAACCCGTTAAGAGATAACCAAGTATTTAACTTACTAGTATTTAACTCACATTCAACTGATTATTATTTTGGAACAAGTAGAACTTTAACGATTGCTCTTTTGGTAAAGTCCTAATTTCCAAATAGAGAAATAGAGTGGCTAGATATATGTACTTCGCTTCTCACCAAGAAGACAACTATGTCCAAACATATAATTTCAATTGGTATCGGTGGAATTTCTCGGAATAGCATTGGGGCGTTTAGCGACGCAATATATCGATATGTTTGTTAAGTCTTCACGGCAGGTAATCACGTAAAATAATTCTGGACTTCTTCCAAATAGTGGATATGTATCCACTTCATATAAACTAATATATTTGGAAATGTAACCAATTTATATATAATTTTCATATGTATATTTTTTTGCGCAATATGTTGTATGGGTGATTTTGCTTCACATTTCTTACAAGCATATACCTAAAAAAGAGTTACTTAATCCTTACGTTATTTGCAACTGACGCATGTGTGTTGCAGCTTCTGCTGCACCGAAAGCTATTTAAGCAGTTTTGATGCTTCGTTTCAGCTTTCCTTCCTGTTTCTGTCTACGCTACGTAAATAATTCTTGGCAGCAGGTGCATTACCTGCACATCTTAATGATATTTTCTATTTATGCTTGAGTTCCTCCTGTAGTTTGTACGAAAAACTTTATAATTTTTATTGCACGGAATACAGAGGCTCATAGTTGAAAATTTCAAACAGACTAAAGTGTCTCATAGAGTTTTTCCTATGCTCAAAATTATACAACAACAACAACATTTTAATCCTACAGTCTATGTTACCTACATTTTAGCCACAGACAAACGATGAAGTGGGGATTTAACCTTTGTCACTAAGCATATCTATGACTTTGTTGCAGCTGCTCCCTATTCTCTATTCACTATCGTTGCTTCCTACTCGCTATTCGCTACTCGTCGCTTGCTGCACATAGTAAACTTTCAGTGTTGCACTTGTGGCATCATTCACTGAAGACTTGTGTGCTTAGTACAAATGGTACAAATATCTTCTGTGAGTTTTTGTTTGTTTATTTGGTTTGTTAAATGTCAGAATTTGTTGACAAAAAACTTAGCGAGTAGTGGGGATCCGCACCTGCACCAGCACTTTTACCAACATTGGCATTAGCATCAGTATTAGTAGGAACACCAACAATTCCAACAGCTCCTGATTGCAGGTGTTGAGTAATCATATTTACGAAAGCGTTCACAAAATTTCAGACATTACAGAATATATATTTCTGCGCTACTTAATTATTAAATACGCAACAGCTGTTAAGTATTTTACGAAATCATACAGGCTCATATATAAAAATGTAAACGTCTAAGGATGTGCACATTGCACTGCCGCCAGCGTTAATGCCTTAATTAAGGCTTTCCGGTCTTATTTTAAAATGGCTGTGTGCACACACCACGCAAGCTCACTTACCACAATCTTTACTATATTCGCAGGATGTGTAAAAAAATGTCCTTATTTTTTTCACTTTTTTCAACTATTTTTGAAGCTATTTTGCACGCGTGGTTACTTGCAAATTTCGTCCAAAATTAATCAAATTATTATCTGGCTAAGTTGGTTACTTAAGCAATTTAAATTAAAATACTCGCATAAAAAAGTTAGCATTTGCACTTCGTGCTTAAGGAGATTAAGTGTATTTTACACATCAGTGAAAATTTTAGAAAAGTTCATTCATGAAAATCCCTTTTGAAAAAGGATTATGAATATGAGAAGCGGAAACTTATGCAGGTTGCTTGCTGGCTGCTTAACTCTGCGCAACCGAAACTAATTTCGACTCAACTCAAATTTCGTTTTTGGTCTTGCTTAACACTGGACGAACTCGGTACGTTCCCATCGTATAAATGCTGTGAAAACTGTTTTTACAGTTATTTTAATTTTATAAAAGTTAAATCCTTAAAGGATTATAAATGATTGTTGGAAAATTGCAATGATTGTCTGTTTTTATAGTTTATGTAATATACTCAAGTTGAAGGCATGAATGAGCCAGCCGAATTATGATTTTTTGAAAAGGTTGCAGAATTAGATTTCATATATTTATTAAATAATATAATATATCAGTAACAATATAGTTAAAATTTATGTTAAAATTTAGAAACTTAAAATTTTCTAAATAAATCGCTTCAGTTGAACATATTGTATATTAAATTTCATTTAAAAGTCTATTATAACGCTTTCCTCAATTATTTTCTGAATAGAAACTATCGTTTAAATAGAGATATTTTATGAAAGGTAGTGAATTTGAATAACAAAATTTTAATATTTTCAAATAGTTGAATTATTGGCCAGCCAAATTCGTAAATAAATTTTTTTTTGTGATCGCAAGTACCAAGTGTTGAATAGTACTGAAATTTAATCATTTTAAATAATTATAGTTAATTAATTCAATAAATTTTAAATTTGTTTATCGACCCACATTCTATAATTATTTTAACAAAATAACAAAACTCCAGAAAAATATGCGAACAAAAAAGTCAAGTACGGCGTTGGTTAAGGTGCGGTGCGCTGATTCTGAGCTTCATATTTGGCAGGACCCGAGTTCGATTCCTGGTATTTGCAGTCTCAAAAAAAATAATTATTTACGAATAATTAAATACAAGAATTATTTCCAAGACCACTGATGATGGGTATTTGGCAATACTCGAAACGGCTGTATGGTCAGCCAAAAATTCAATTAATTAAAATAATATAAAAGATAAATTTTTGTTGTTGTATTTCATTACTGTTCGAAAAAACCTCTTTATAATTATTTTATTAAATACAGATCAGTGTTATATGAAAAATACAATAAATAACTTGACAAATAGAATGGAATTTGATATTATTAATTATTATTTTTATTAGAACATGCTCCTGAAAATGACTCTCAAAGAGTCATCATCAATAAACAGCAATAAACGGTTTTTAATTAAAACGGTCGTTAACTAATTCAATTATTATATAGCTGGTTTTTGATTTTCTTCTAATATAGCACAGCAAGTTAAATTATTTATCAATTTTTACAGTAAATTAACAAAAATCCGAACAACAAGTCCAAATATACAAGTCAAGCACGACTTTGAGTCAGTTGATTAATTAACACTGACTCTGAGCTTCAAGTTTGGCAGGGTGTAAGTTTACCCCTTGGTTGAAATATTTTATATTAAATATAAGTTTTTTTTTTAAATACTAATGATGACTAGTCAAAACAGCTATGTGGGCAGCAAAAATTCAATTGATTAAAAATAATAAAATTTTGTTGTTGTTATTCACTACTGTTCAGAAAACTTCTTTATTAAAAATTGTAGTAATTAAAAATTTAAAGGCAATCAATTTAAAAAAAACAAATCCATATTGTAGAATATTAATAATACTTTCGTTCCAGAAAAAGGAAAAACTCGATCAAACTCAAAAATTTTAGAAAAAGACTCAAAAATAATGAAATCTATTATAATAATTAATTTATACTCTTTACATTTCTCGATCGATACCGCAGAGCCATTTGCGGACTGCGTGCAATTGCTTCATTAACCGTTTGAAGGCTATAATTCATGATAGAGATGGTCTCATATTGAACCAAACTAAATTAACTTGAAACTTTAAAGTTCTTTTCTAGTGTTTTCATTTATCTCTCATTAAATTTAACAAAAATAAACAAAATTGAAGATTCTACTTTGTTGCAGTTTTCGTTAGCCACCCTGTATAATATATCAAATTTTGATCATTTTCTTTTTGGAAAATATATTTTGCAATGTTGCTTTTGACATTTTTGTTGTAGTATATTAATTATTTATTAATTTGAAGAATATAAAAACTCTTTGTAATTTCACTTGAAAAGCATGAAAGCTCTTTGTATGATTAATTAACTTCATTAGCGACGTAAATCAAAGAAACTGCTTAAATAATGGCGGTGGAAACATACTATAATGTTAATGAAATGTTTTAATTAATTTCTTACTTTAGTGGTCAATTAAGTTTTTATAATTCTCTTAACAAACTTAACAATTTAGAAACTGGGAACTATTTAAGTTAACTTGACTCCTTGGCACACGGGCATTCATGAAACTTTTCAATAATAATTTTTAATAAAAAATTTATGATTTTCTTAATAACGAAAAGAAGAATGAAACTTTTTCAATCATCACTTTGGCATTGTGTATCTTTTATGATATATTTCTTTTATATTTTAACTATCAGCAAGTCTATCAGTTTTTGCAATTCATCAAATCTCTAAAGCAGATTTTATCAAGTTTGTTGAATGGCGAACACAGCCCTTTATGCACCTTAACATACTGAGATATATGGTATATATAGTAACTCACAGATATAACTCGTCGAGTACACTAGAATCGTTCATTATTCTTTTGCTATTGCAGTGCAACTCACTACCTTTTGTATCTGCACATAATGCGCTTCATTTTTCTTCGGATAAGTGCTGAGCTGCTGGAAAAAATATTATTTTCTTCACTTTCTTATGCACTTCAAGTTGGCATTAAACTCAATTTTACAAGAAAGTAAAAAAATCGCAATATTTTTTCTTATATTTTTTTTTATACATTCACAATAAAACGTTTTGTGCATTTTTTCAAAGCTCCTTACAAGGAGTGCAAGGAGTGAATCCTTTAATATATTTTGCTTTCCATGCCGATATATATTAGTATCAGTAACGCTTACCCTCAGACTGCAGCAGCATTTGTGTGGATTTAATAAAATGCTGCAAGTTAAGAAAAATGATTTTTAAATCTCCTTACAGAGCATAATATCCTTACTTGCGAATGACTATAAATATTAGAGTTAATATTTCAGTTCAGCTTAGAAGGTTATACGCGTTTATTTAGCAGGCAAGTCTTATCTTTTGTTAAACTGCAAACTGCAAACTGCAACTGCAACTGCAACTGCGTATATGCCGGCAATAAGACGAAGTGTGTTCTTAATGTTGGAGTTGAGTGCGAAAATCTAATGAAAATTGAGCAAACAAAATTATTCATTGAAAATTATATTTTCATTTATAAGTTTAGTCTTTCCTAAAATCATTAAACATAAGTCAAAAACAAAAAGAAGCAATGAATTAAAATGCAGTAATTTAAGGCAATATTAATAGCGATTTCCGTGCTGTTAGCCTTGGTACGAGTGAAATGCAACGAATCCTTAGAGCCTTGACATTCATTAGAGAAAAGAAGCAAAGCTGTTTGAACATTAACGAACACATTTATGCCTTGTTACCTGCCACAACTACAACGTTTATGTGTGCTAGGAGCTTGAAGCCTGTTGCAAGGATCTTGAGAAAACTATTAAAAACGCTTCAGTAGTCCTGTTGTAAATCTGCTCAAATAATCGTTAAAGCAAGTAAAAGTGGCGACGAAGTCGAAGCAGCTGTGCTATGTTATAGGAGGTAATGTGCCACTATTAAATTTCGACGCATTAAGGATATTTAAGTATTATGAGCAGTAACATCATAATTATAACCAAAAGTTTGAGTACCAAAGCCAGGAGCCAGAAGTAGTGAGTTTAAGTACGAAGCTAAAATGGGTTGATTCAAGTTGGAAATTTAAAGGTTTTGAAAAGTTTATTGTTATTACCTTCTAATGGCAGAAGAGAGCCGTTAAGTGTGCATATGTTAGAAATGGTAA